TTGAGAAGCTTTCAGGGGTAGTTTGGGCATGGAAAAGGGTAATTCTGTTAGGAATAGTAATTTCAAAGTAATGAAAGGGTAGTATAGGTATTGCATGGGTAGAAGAATACCCTAGGGCCTTCTAGAATAGGATTTTAGTGCACATTTCAGCACAATAGAGGTGCTTACTTGAGTAACAAGTTAGAAATAATATGACTAAACTAAAAATAGGGGAGGGACTAAAACGAAAACCCAAAATCTGATTAACCCTCTTGTATCACCTATAAAAGGGCACGAAGTTCCTTGAGGAAGGGATTGAATTTTCAGCCCAAAAATCCCACCAAAAGCTTTCCTCCTTGCTTTCAATTTCAGCTAGCACTTCAATTCCAATACTTAAGAAGAAACATCAAAAGATGGAAAAATCAAAAACAGTTTTACTAGTTCATCACTAGTGTCAGTGATTCTCAGTCTTTCTTTGGGCATTCTTCATTCCAACTCGAGGTTCTATTCCTAAAAAGTGTTTGGGAGTGACTAACGACTAATTCAAGTGAGTTTGGGGCCTATTAGTTTGGACTTCAGTGGAGATTTGGGTCCAGCAGGATTTGAGAGCATCTAGGCTCAGCTGTGAGGGCTAGGAGTGCATTCCAAGTGTGTGTTGGACTGATCCGTTGAGTCTGCTTATATTTCTGATTTTTCAAAAGCAGTTCCTGGCCTGTTCTGTGATGATATATTGTTGAGTTTGTTGCTGTTGCTGTTCAAAGTAGCTGACTTCTTTCCTTCTCATATTTTCCCTTATCCAGGTACACAATTGTACCCCTGATGACTGTGAGCTCAAATGGGCAACAATGAATTGTGTGAAGAATGAATTTACTTGCAGAATTGAGTTTTGATTTAGCTAATTTCCAGATCTACGTATTCAGTTCTTAATTCATGGATATTGTTTAAGTTTTGCTTTCTTTTGTGCTAAAGGGACTATATAAACTGTTATATTTCGGAGTCATGTGATTACTATGAAGTGAACACTAGTGTTAGTTGATTACATGATAGGTTGATAGTAATGTTGGCGTGAATTAATTCAGAAGTAGTTAGTCTGCTTTATGCTATTGAGATCGTGTTT